AAAAATGTGAAAGGCTTTAATAAAAAAAATATAATATAAGCAAAGAAAGATCAGACAAAGTTATGTGATCCATCTTTACTTGATAAAATTAATTAATTATATAATATGATGACAAAAATAATAATATATTTATATAATAGCTTTATTGTAATTTATTATTTTTTTTTATTTTATTTTACTTTTTTTATTTATTTTATTTTTAATTATCAATTCTTATATAATTATTGAATTTATTGTATAAAAGAACCATGTTGTTAAGAAAGAAAAAAATAAGTAATAAAAGTAATCAACTTTTCAGCTATAATCAAATCTACCTTACCTATAATATAAAATATTTATTATTGTTATATGAATCCTAGCTTTTATTAATGATAGACTTGTTAATTATTGTGACAATATTATTAATACATAAGTTCTTATTGGTTCTTTTGAAAGGCTTATATACTATAATATAAAATAAGATAATAATTATATATACTTAATAATAATTTCTTGTTTCTCAAATAAATTTAAATACAATTAAATATAATTAATAATAAAAAATAATTAATAATATTCTGAAAAAAAAAATTCTGTGGATCTATAATATAGTGATTAGTACTTTACAGATCAGATCACAAGATATCAGTTCAATTCCATATAAAAATGATTGAATAGAATCTAATATAATATTTGGTACTATAACCTATCAAAAAAAACATTGTTTCTTATAAAAAGTCAATTTCATATGCTAATCCAACAAGTATTAAGATTGTAATCTCCATAAAAGGTGCTGTGGTGTAATGATCATCCAGTTTGTACTATAATAATCACCAGAAGTTGAAAACAAAAAAGATATAAAAGGTGTTCGATTTTGAGCAAGATGGTTTGATGATTGCTTCCTTCATGATATCTGATATCTCTTTCTACAAATTATTAACAGGTTTTGATAAAGTTTTATTTATCAAAAATAAATATTATCCCTTATTTTCTTTTTTACTTTCTCTTAATAAATTAAAAATAGAACTAATGCTTATATAACAATCAAATTATTTACAAGATCACCAGTATAGCTTAGGCATTGTTATGAGGAAAATGTAATGGTAGATGATAGGAAATTATAAGAGTAGGTATATCAGGTATAAGTGGTATATCAGGTATAAAGGGTATATCACATATAAAAGGTATATCTGGTATAAATAGTATATTAGGAATAATAGGTATAATTGGTATAAAGTCAAAATGTATATAAGCAACTTGAGAATATACAAAAAGTGGGAACAATTAAAATAGATACTGTGCAATAGATAATTAATAAACTGTCTTTATTAATAAACTGTTTTATAAAAATACCCAGTATGTATAGCTAACGAAATTGCTACATGAGGAAGTAACAATTGAGGACGCAAGATCGATGGATTGATCTGTGTTGGCGTTATGAACTCTGGCCAAATTCACATGCCTCTTTTGAGCAGAAACAAGATCCTATTGTTACACGGCATGAGACAGACCGAAGCGACTGACTCGCTGTGATTTCCCTGTAACAATATATATTAATAATAAAATAAATAAAATAATATTTAAAAAAAAAAACTTCTATTTATTTATTATTAATTTTTTTAAAGAAAAACTCTTTACTTTTTTTTTTATATATTAATTATATTATAAGTTTAAAGATATAAAAACTTTAAAAATTACTATTATATTGAGATAAAATTTTATCTTTGATTAAAGATTAAACAAGTTTAAAAATCTTGTTTATTTTTTGATTATATAAAAAAAAATCTATAACAGTTTTTCTTTATAATTTGTTTTTATATATTTTTCTCTTTTTTAAAATTATTAATATCATTCTTATATCAATTTTCAATATTATATATTTATTCTAAAATTATATTTAAACAAAATTACTTAATCTCTTTTTTATTTTTTCTAATTATTTTCTTAATAATTTATATTATACTATTTTAAAATTTATAAATTTTTTCAATATAAAAAATCAAAATCAGGTTTATTTTTTCAAACAATTAATATAAACTTAATATTTAATTAAATTTTAATATTTTAATTTTATAATAATTAAACTTATACAAATCTGTTTACAATAATAATAATATTCTTATATATAGTAACAAAAATATATTAATAATTTTTCTAATCAAAATATTCTTAACAATATATTACAATTATATAAAAATATTAATCTTTTCATATATTTATTTAGTTTTTAAACAATTGTGATATAATTTTATAAGTTCAAGTAATAATATTAAAATTTTATTATCAATATAATAATAGATAAAAACTAAGGCTTCAAAAAATACCGAACCAGTATTGAAGTGGTATCAAAATGGTACCGATCTATAGTAAATTTAATACATGGGTTATAACCCACTCATATGAATTTATAATAAATTTAAGTATCGAACTAATATCAAACAGGTATTGAAGTATTACCATTAGGAGCTCTAATAAAAACTATTTTTATAATTCTATAAATCCAAATAGTAATCAAATTTAAATTAATTATTTTTTATCTTAATTATTTCAATAATTATATTTTTATAAATAATTACAATAACTTAGTTATTTATAAATAAATATAAACTATTAATAAGTTATTAATAGTTTGTTTTTATTTATATGATATTTTTTTAAATTAAAGATTTTTTATATATAGATTAAAATTAACTTTATAAATAAGTAATATAGAATTCTTAATATAATAATAATAAACTAAAATTTAATAATATTTTATGTTTAATATTTATTTGTAATAAAAAAACAAAATCAAAAATAATAATAATATTTGAATTTATAAAAAATAAAAAAAAAATAATTAATATTATATTAAAACTTAATTTGAATTAACCTATAGATTCATAATATAGTAGTTAATACTTCACAAATCAGATTACAAAATATCAATTCAATTTTATATAAAGTGATTAAATAGAATTAATATGATATCTGATATTATAACTAGTTATACAGTATATTGTTTCTTATAAAAAGCTATTTTATATACTGATCCAGCAAATATTAAAATTGTAATTTTCCTATTAAGGTATATTGGTGAAATAATTATCTGAATGGTATTACAATGATCATTTAACAAAAGAAGCCATAGAACCATTTATATATTTGAATATATAAATTGGGTTATATTTTATTTTAATTAATTTCAAATCACTATTTCCTTTTTTTTATTGACTATTAAATAAGGAAGCTTTGAAAAAAAGCATTAAACTTAGGTTGCATGAAAATAAAATCTTTGATCTTTCTGATGATTACAAGCTGAAAACAAATCAAAGTAGGAAAGGTTGCATAAAAAAAGGTTTCTGATTTAACTTCAATAAAAGTCCACAATTTCTCTTGGTATGGCAGACTCTGTAGCACAAAGAATACTCTAGTCTGGGGCTATTGCAATCTGACACTTACTTAAAAAAAGAGAACCTAATGAAAAGAAAAATTTAAAGCCATAGATGATAACAAAAAATATAGTACCTTCTTCAAGAAACCAGGCAAAAAGTATTGAATGAATTATTCAGATATTTTAACTAACTTTAAAAGATATATGCTCCAAATGATATTCATCAGGATTTAGATTAGGTTAGATAGTTTAAAATTAATGGTAAAATTTCTATCTCCTAAAGATTCCATCTGGTATATGGATCTATTTTTTGGATGAATAAATTAATATAATTGAATAAAACTATAGATGAAAGTATGAGTTAACTTAAATAGATTTTGTAGTTATGTAATTGAATATAAATCACTTAATAAAAATTATATATTATTAGTACTCTTTATCTAAAAAAAAATATTAAACTGATACCATTGTCTTATATAATATAAATTCCAATGGCTTACCATATATATATAAATTATACTCTGCTTGATATTTATATCTCTAGATTTGATAATCTAAGTTAACTAATTTAGAATTGGATATTTATTAGAAAATTAAGAAGTCTGGAAGCTTGTTTTATATAGCTTATATATTTTTTAAGGAGTCATATTTTACTTAATTACAAGAGCCCTTAGATTTAATAGCAAAAATCAACCAATAAACAAAAACTGGAATATTTACTAAAAAGTATATATTTATATTGAGAATCTTTTATTATATTAATTATATAAATAAAAAAATATAAATGTGATAAGTAATTTAGAAAATAGTTAATAATATTTACTATCTTTACATAAAAATTGAACTGGTAAATTAGATGGTTTAAAACTAATAGTAAAATTTTCATTCCCTAGATAGATCTTTTCAAAAATATAAATTTACTTCAAGAGTATCATTAGTATTATTAGAATAATAAAAAGTAGAATAGATTAGTATTTAGCTATAGTTTAGAATTATAAATAATGTTTAATGTATTATTTAAATATTTATATACTGTATATTAATAAATAATTGATATTTATAAGCTACAATTAACTTACGTATATATATAAAGATTATTGATATAATGATTATAAACAAGTGTTTAATAAAAATTATGCATCTAATGTTTTATTTGCAAAAAAATAAATAAATAAATAAATAATTGATATCTAATATCCATTCTACTATATAAAAAAAACTTAATCTGAATTTGTAATATATAATTTATAAAGATTAAATAAAATAATATTAATAAATTATTAATTTATTATTTTTATATATCTAAATATTTAATATTGTTGAAAGTGAATTATATTGAGTTTTAAATATGCAATCTCTATTATAACAGTTCAACATAATTTAATAAACAAATGATTTTAATTTGATTGAAAATTATAAAAAAAAATGTTTTTTTAAAATAAAAAAAGTCAATAAGTTTTGCAATATACTGTATATACAGTAACATTAATTTATTAATGCCTAGTGAAAAAAAAATACAAGCTCGTGTATTAGAACAGATCATGTGACCACAACAAGATGAAATTGTAAAAAAACTGTCCGACAACTAGTCTAAATCGATTTGACATTTGTAAAATTTACGAAAGAAAATGAGCGAAAATTCGCACTATCAACCTTGGTGAGTGACAAATTTAATTTCCTTTTGTACAAAGCCATCCGGTAAGGTAGGCTCAATAATCTTTCTCGTGTAGGGCATATTCTTACGATCAAAATCAGCAACAGTATTTGGCACCTCCTGGGACGCAACCT